TACAAATAGTATCAAAGATATTGTAAATTTTTGCTTTTTTTTTTCTTGTTTTGTTCTTCTGCGGTTGTTAAACAAAGAAAAAAAAATTGAAAAATTGACAATTTTATTTAGCAGAGAAAAAAAGCAGTTTCCCTTTGTCAACAAATTATTTGCTACTTTTTGTGTTTGAGTAAACAATTTGTTTTTGGTAATTTTCAAATATATCCATTTTTTTTTTTTATTTTTCCCACTAATCAGTGTATTTAATTCATCTGTTTTTTTCTTTTTTTTGCAAATTTTTCTTTTTTACAACACCGTCTAAAAATAATCAGTCAAATTAGTTCTGAAATATTTGTTTCAATAAAAGTTAAGCAGAAAAAAAAAACTTACTTTTGACAGTATCGGTAAATTGAACGGTAGCAATTATACGGGGCGACAAAATTGAACTTTGTAACAATTCATTACACCAGTACTTTAATTTTCTTTTTTTTTCATCTATTTGAAAAAAAAGGCGTATTTTTCGGTTACATCAAAAAACAAATAAACAGTTTATTTACAAATTATTTTTTTTCAATTAAATTTAAACTGTTATCATTTTCAATTAAAAATATTGTTGTTGAAATGTGAAGAAAGAAGCGTTGACTTTTTTGTTTTTCTTTCTTTTTTTTATTGCTACAGAATAAACAGTATTAACGTCAAAATTACCGAAAGAGGAAACCGAAGTATTGAACAGTAACACTTAGTTTCTACTTTTTTCCTTTTTTAAATTTTTTATAAATTTAAAAAACTTTTTTTTTTGTTGTTTTAAAAAAAACAAAACAAAACGTAAAACTTTGAATTGGTATTGTTGCAACAATTTTCTGTTCTTATTTTTTTTTTTTTTTCAATTGATTTGAAATTCTACGTGACTTGTAAAACGGTATAATACCTAAGAAACAGTTTAATAGGCAATTTTTTTTTTTTATTTTTACATTTATCACAACAACTTAGCCAACACCAACAGGAAAAAAAAAAACTTTTCAATAATTTATATTCATCAATAACGTTTTGCCAGCATTCAACAGTAGTTAACCACTGTGTTGCCACTGTTACTGTTACTGTTGCTGTTTTTCATTTTTTCTCAAAATTTTTGTCTTCAACTTTTGACATCTAAACATCGTTTTCAAAGCGGAAACAGAAAAAAAAGGTATAAAAAAAGTTGGAAACTTTAACAGAAAAAAAAAAGCAATAGCGGTAGTATCGACTGTGTTTTTCCAAAACCTATACCCATTCATAGGTTATCAACGTTTAGCTTTCTGTAATCTCGTTATAGTTTTGAAATAATTTTTGACAGTATTTTTTTTCTGCTCAAACTACCTTTGAAAAAAAAA